TTCTTTGCAATCTTCCTTTTAAACATCTTTCCATAACACTCTTATCCTTACTTTTGTTTGTCCTTTGCTAGACTTTCCCTTTTCATTCATATTTAAGTTTGTTTCATTTCTTGTAGATTCCTCTCTATCACCCCATCCTCATCATAATATTTTAAATCCTCTGCCCCGTCCAAATTTACTCTTCACTGTGGTACACCAGTTCCATTTCCATTCAAGTGGATCCTGTTCCATCAGTATAGTTCCTTCCTGTCACCATACTGCTGCCAGTGTTCCATGCAAAAATGCCTCTTAAGGGGTGAGGGACAAATCTAGAACGTTACCTACAGAACATAAAGGATCTTCAACTGATCAGATGTTTTTATTAACAGTTGTTTCCTGTGGATTAGTGTTTGTGTTTCCACAAGATTAACCCTTGCCTGTCGACAGGAAAACTGTGAATTAAAAAACAACCCTATGAACTATATAACGGCTGTATTTGGAACTGTATCATCTAATTCTGAAAAAGTTGCTGAAAATAATTGCTGTTTCTGGCACTATTTATTATTTTTGGCAGCGAGCTTTCAACTGATTAAAATTATGGGAGATGATATTCAGGAAACAAATTAGTTCAATTTTCTTTCCTTTTTTTGTCTTCTGTAGGATTACAAAGTTCATATACCATGAAGTATGTAAATAGGAAGGTGGGGATGAAATAATGGGGAGGAATCTACAAGAAATAAAAAAAAATACATGAGTGAAACAGGAAAGGGGGAGATGGCAGCCTATTGTAATATCACAGGTCTAGTAACCAGAGCCCCAGGCTACTATTCTGGGGACTGGGTTAGAATCCCACCATGGCAGAAGGTGAAGCATGAGTTTAATAAACAAAACAATCTGGAATTAAAAATGTCCTGTTTAATGGCGACCAAGTAACCATTGTCAAGTTTTAAGAAAACACCCCATCTAGGTAACGAATATCCTTTTAAGAAAGGAAATCCGTGATCCTTAGATGATCTAGTATGGTCATATAATGCAATGACTCACAGCAATGTGATTGACTCTTAACTGTCATCTGAAATTGACTAGCAAGCTACTCAGTTGCTCCAGAACTAGCCGTGCCCATAGCCAAACTGTTCCAGCACAGCTATAACACTGGCATCTACCCAACAATGAGGAGAATTGCCCAGCCATGTTCTGTACACGAAAAGCAGAACAAATAGACCTAGCTGATTTATCGCTCATCAGTTTATGCTTCATCATAACTCGGGCGATGGAAAGTATCATCAATTGTGCTATCACCAATTCCTAGTTTGGGGTTCTGCCAAGACCACTCAACGCCTGACCTCATTACAACCTGGAGTGAAGCATGGAAGAAAGAACTGAACTGCACAGGTGAGCTGAGAGTGACTGCCCATGATATTAAGGCAACATTTGAGCAAGTGTGGCATCAAGGAGCCCTAGCAAACTTGGAGTCAGTGGGAATTGCAGGAAATCTTTCTGCTGGTTGGAGTCATGGCTATCACAAATTAAGATGTTGTGATTTTTTTTTGAAGTTCAATCATCTCATTGGTGATCATTGCAAGAGTTCCTCGGTAGATACTTTCCAGTCAACCTCTTCAGAGATATTACATGTGGAGATGCTGGTGTTGGACGACAGGTTTATTTGAAAATGCAAGCTTTTGAAGCTCAGCTCCTTCCTCAGGCATATTGTGAGAGAGAGGGTATAAGACACAGAATTTATAAGCAGAAAGGTAACAACCCTAAAACTGGCTGCCTCTTGTTAAGTCTTTAATCAGTTAGGAAGGAGACTACTGATTAGAAGGCAAAATCCAGATTCCCTTCAAGTCATTGTCCCAAGATAATTACAGGTTTTATCAATATATATACGAGATGACATTTCTGGTTAGACAACGCATTTTAGGGGAGAGGTTTTGTTTAGAATTTATCTGTTTTAAACTGGGGTCAGTTTCTTTTTGAGGAAAACAGAATGTATCTGCAGCCACACAAACATCTTGGATGAAATAATTTGTGTTTGTGTGTGTATGGGAGTATATAGTGTGGTGAGATCACCTGCAGTGTGACATGAACCCAAGATCCTGATTGAGTCTGTCCTTAGGGATATGGAACTTGGCTGTCAGCCTCTGCTCAGTGATTTTGTGTTGTTGTGTATCTCGAAGTCCACCTTGGGGGACTCTTACCTGAAGATCAATGGCTGAATGTCCTTGACCCCTGAAGTGATCCCCAACTGGGAGGGAGTACCCTTGTCTGATGATCGTTGTGCAGTGTCCATTCATATGTTGTGGTAGTGTTTGCAAGGTCTCACCAATATACCATGCCTTGGGGCATCCTTGCCTGCATTGTGTTAGATAGACAACATTGGCCGAGTTACATGAGTATCTGCCATGTACATGGTGGGTGGTGTTCCCACATGTCATGGTAGTATCCATGTCAATGATCAGACATGTCTTCCAGAGGTTGCCATGGCAGGGTTGGGTGGTGTTGTGGTCGCTGCTGTCCTGAAGGCTGGGTAGTTTGCTGCAAACAATGGTCTGTTTAAGGTTTGATTGTTTGAAGGCGAGAAGTGAAGGTGTAGGGAAGATCGTGATGACGTACTCATTGTGTTGAAGGCTTTGAAGAACATGGCGTAGTTTCTCCACTCTGGGGAAGTACTGGATGACAAAGGGTACCCGATCAGTCGTATCTCGTGTCTGTCGTCCGAGGAGGTCATTATGTTTTTCGCTGTGGCACAACTGTATTGGCAATTGATGAGTTGAGAATCATGTCCTGTTCTTATGAGGGCATCCTTCAACGCCTTCAGGTGTCCGTCACGATCCCCCTCACCCGAGTAGATCCTGTGTATGCGTGGGGCTTGTCTATAGGGGATGGCTTTTTTTTAATGTGTTTAGGGTGAAAGCTAGAGAAATGCAGCATCGTGAGGTTGTCTGTGAGCTTGCGGTAGATTGAGGTACTGAGGTGTCTGTCCTTGATGGAGATGCATGTGTCCAAGAATGAGACTGATTCTAAAGAGTATTCCATGGTAAGTCTAGTGGTGGGATGAAACTTGCTGATATTACTATGTAGCTGTTTCAGTGATCTCTCGCTATGAGACCAAAGGGAGAAAATGTCATCAACAGATCTGGTGTATAGCATTGGTTGGAGGTCCTGTGTGGCAAAGAAGTCTCATTCGAACTTGTTCATGTAAATGTTGGCATATTGGGGTGCAAATTTGACCCCCATGGCTGCTCTGTGTGTCTGAATGAAGAACCGATTGTCAAAGGTATAGATGTTGTGGTTGAGGATGAAGCGATGAGTTGCAGGATGGTGTCTGGAAATTGGCAGTTGTTGGTATCGAGTACTGATGCTGTTGCAGCAATGCCATCATTGTGGGGGATGCTGATGTAGAGTGCTGAAATGTCCGTTGTGACAAGGAGCGTTTCTGGTTTGACAAGTCCGTGGGTGCTGAGTTTCTGCAAAAAGTCTGTAGTGACAGAAGCTGGGGATTCTTAGTGTACACTGGGTTTCAAGATGCCCTTGACATAGCCAGAGAAGTTTTCACACAGGGTCCCATTGTCCAATACAGTGGGACGTCCAGGTGTGTTGGCTTTGTGAATCTTCAGAAGGCAGTAGATGTCCCCAGTGTGAGAAGTGTACGGGATGAGAGTGCATAGGGTACTTTGAAGGACTGGATCAAAAGTTTTGATCAGTCTGTTGAGTTCATGGATGTTCTCTGGTCGGATTGGCAGGTAGTTGTCTGTAGTGTTCCTGGTTGTTCAGTAGTCTGTTCTATTCTGTATGACGATGGCTGCAAACTGGCAGCCAATGTTGTGATTGGTCTTGAGAGCCTGGATGGCCATGCGTTATGCTTGGGTGATGTTTTGCATCACCTTGTGAGCATAGCTGATGAATCTGGCGCTCACCTGTTTCCTGATGGCTTGAGCATACATGTCGAGCCTAGGGCAGCGACCCTTTGGAGGGGATATTATTACGCACCTCAATAGCAGGTGAGACTCGAAACCGGGCCTCTTGACCCCGAGGTTGGGACATTACTATTGTGTCACAAAAACCCTCATTCCTCAGGGTCATGTACTAGGCCCAACCATCTTCAATTGCTTCACCAATGGCCTTCCCTCTAAAATAATGCCAGAACTGGAGCTGTTTGCTGAAGGTTTGTAATGCTCAGTGCAGTTCACAACTGTTCTGATACTGTCACAATCTTGACATTCAATAGCATTATCATTACTGAAACCCCCTATCAACGTACTGGGAGTTATCATTAATCAAGAATACCGAGGCTGCAAGATCAGGTCATAAAGTAGGAATTCAAGAAGGCAGCTTACCACCACGTCCAGAGCTATTAGATAGAAATGGGCAATAAATGCCAGCAATGCTCTCATGCTGTGAACAAATAAAAAAAGGACAGCATAGCACAGACAAAAATAAGAAAAGACCTTGCTAAGGATTGAAGATAGTTTACAAACTAGTGTAAAAAGAATTATGTATTATTCCTATACTACAGTGTTGCAACTTGAACTGCCTGCATTTTATGTTTTGTACAATACATCACTGCCTGTATGTTTGTTCAAAAAGCATTGTGTTGCACTTCATTTTATTCAACGAAGTTGATATTAATGCTGATGATTACCAGTTTAGTAATATTTCCTGTACTTTTTAACTTCATGTTTGTGTGGTTAGTAAATCCAGGAGTAATATTTGTCAAGTATTTCATTTGGATATTTTTGTTAATCTCCTAGCTTGGTGTTAGAAAGGAAGAAGAAGGGAACGCATTGCCTGAAAAAAAGGTTGTTACTCAAGTGGACATACAAATTTTTGTGATGTAATCTAGCACGTAATCAATAAGATTTGTAAAGGTCCAGAAGCCAGAACAATTGTCAATTGAATATATTAATTTTTCTTTTGAATGTCTGTTGTATTTTGTCATATTGCCATCATTATTAGTTATACAAATCTTCAAGATAATGGTATCCTAATGCTCTGATTTTTTTTTTATTGATTTGTTACAGAAACCCAATGCTGCAGTTTATCCCTTGGATCAGACGTGCCAATTTTCTTCATATTTTGTACAGAGGTTCTGGATTGGGACGGTCTTCAGTATTTTTACTGTCTTCTGAGAGAACAAGGGCAGAACAGGTTTCTAACAAGTGGTACTCAGATATTCATTCACCTACTCTGTGTATTGATAATAACATGGCTTCGGTACAGCAGCCATCATCCAAACAATCATTCCATCCACAAACCTACCACAATTTTTTAGTTTTGGATTTTGAAGCAACCTGTGATAAACAATTGATAAAACCTCAGGTATTTTTTCCACTCATTCTTTTCTTCTATGGATTGGTTAAAAAAAAATTCAAACAATTTATATTTATTAGTGTCTTTATAAGCCAAATGATAATTATCTTGTTCCAAAATGTCGTCATGTTGATCCAGAATTCTGAATATAGGAATAAAACATAGAACTGCAGATGCTGGAAAGCTGAAACGAAACAGACAGTGCTGAAACTCCGCAGATCTGACAGCATCTGTAGAGAGAACAACCAAGTTAATGTTTCGGATTCAGTGACCCTTCGCCAGTTCTGAATATTTCTATTGAGTTTCTCCAGCTTGTTTTACTTTTGTTTCTGAATACAGGAGTTGTTTTCATTTACATGTCCAATTCGTAGCATTGCAGTGATACATTCTGGGAGTCAAGTAGAGATCTATTTGATGGAGCAATGGTCTGATTGTAAATGTCTTTTGTAAATATGTCATTTTAACATTTAATTGCAATAGTGACATCTATTGGCAATTGATCAAAACTGCACTTGTCTTTATTTTGTATTCATTCAAGTTTTCCAAAATTGGATAATTATTGTTGTGCCTCATAAAATATTATTTAGCCACTGTACAGTTGACCTCAGTTAAGTCTAGCAAAGGGTGCCTTGTGCGACCTGAATAATGACAAACCGTAACATCAAATATAACTGAGGGTTGTTAGTCCATTTACCGCTTGAGACTGACTGACTGAAATATTATTTTCCTTGCTGAAATATTACTTTAACCAATAATTTTCAAAATGTCTATTTTCCAATGTAGGCCATAACATTTGGTTCTACTTTGCTGAGCAAGGTGAAACAACTTGTTGTGCATGTAATTTGGTCATTTTTCATACCTAAAAACAGCAATCATATCACCTTTATGGTTACAAGTGAGAACATAGTCAATTGACATAGACAAATCAATGTTCCTAGTCCATAAGCACTAAAGTTAATAATACCCATAGTACTGCTAGAATTGTAGAACAGAGGGACCTGAGGGTTCAGGTACATAATTCTTTGAAGTTTGTGTCACATCTAGACAGGGGGAAACCAAGCGGAGGCTTGGGGACCGCTTTGCAGAACACCTACGCTCGGTTCGCACTAAACAACTGCGCCTCCCAGTTGCGAACCATTTCAACTCCCCCTCCCATTCCGCAGACGACATGTCCATCCTGGGCCTCCTGCAGTGCCACAACGATGCTACCCGAAGGTTGCAGGAACAGCAACTCGTATTCTGCTTGGGAACCCTGCAGCCCAATGGCATCAATGTGGACTTCACAAGCTTCAAAATCTCCCCTACCCCCTACCGCATCCCAAAACCAGCCCAGCTCGTCCCTGCCTCCCTTACCTGTCCTTCCTCCCACCTATCCCCTCCTCCCACCTCAAACCCTACCCCCATCTCCTACCTACGAACCTCATCCCACCCCCTTGACCTAGGTCAGTCCAGGGAGGACAGATATCTCCTCCCCACCTACACTCACCTTTACTGGCTGCATCCCTGCCTCTTTGACCGGTCTGTCTCCTCTCCACCTATCTTATCCTCTATCCATCTTCTATCCACCTCCCCCTCTCTCCCTATTTATTTCAGAACCCCCTTCCCCTCCCCCATATCTGAAGAAGGGTCTAGGCCCGAAACGTCAGCCTCCCTGCTCCTCTGATGCTGCTTGGCCTGCTGTGTTCATCCAGCTCTACACCTTATTATCTAGAGTAGATTAAAAGGTGTTTAACATACTTGCCTTCATTGTTCAGTCATTTTGAGTATAGGAGTTGAGAAGTCATGGTGAGTTTGTGCAAGACATTGGTGAGGCCTCTTCTGTAGTATTGTGTCCAGTTCTGGTTGCCCTGTTGTAGAAAAGATACTTCAAGCTTTCAGAAGAGATTTGCAAGGATTTTGCTGGGTATGGAAGGTTTGAGTTATGAAGAAAGGCAGGATGGACTGGAATGTTTTTCACTGGAGCGTAGGAGGTTTGGAGGTGATCTTATATAGATTTATAAAATCATGAGGTGGGTATAGATAAGGTGAATGGTAGGTGTCCTTTCACTAGGATGGGGGATTTCAAGACTAGGGGACGTACGTTTAAGGTGAGAGGAGAGGGATTTATAAAAGACAGGGACAAATTTTTTTACACCAAGGGTTGTTTGTATGTAGAATGAACTTCCTGAGGAGGTGATGGTTGTGGGCACAGTTACAACATTTAAAAGACACTTGGATAAGTACATGAATAGAAAAGGTTTACAGGAATATGGGACTAGTTTATTTTGGGATTACGTTCGGCATAGACTGGTTGGACCGAAGGGTCTGTTTCCATGCTGTATGACTGTGTGATTGGGTATTGAAGTTATTAAAATTGAAATTGAAAAGAAGCATACACAAGGGGAATCTAGAAATTTTAGTAGACCAGATTCGTGAACATGGTTAATTAATCTAGCATGGGTTTAATTTCCATTTGTTGCATAAAAAATCTTTAAAAATGCACACAATGTGCGGTTTGTGTTCGCATTCAAATATCACAAGTGACAATCAGCATGCCAGCACCTTGTAGTTTACAACATACCATAAGCAAGGTAGCATTTGCAAAGCTATGCCATTTCAAAGGCCATTTGAGTCCAGTATCCCCTGAAAAGCTGATTTAATGATGGATTCCACAGTTGATTAACTATATCTTCAGCATTTCTTTTGAAACATGAATACAAAGGTACTCGGGTATTTTCCTAAAGTTGCTGAAAAATTACTTGGCTAACTTATCAATTCCCCTTTGGTTTCTCAAGATTTCTCCACATGAAATTTGAGTGGGATATTTAACCTCAAAATTTCTGCTTATGCCTCGAATAGACCAGAATGAATTGTAAAACAATAGCCACAAAGACAACTCTGATTTTAATTTTGTCTTTTTTGGCACAAGTAAGTATTTAGCCTCCAATTTGCATATTCCCACAGCATTGCAGCTAAAGTTAGAGCTTCATAGAGTATGGGGAGAGGGAAACAAAATTTGTCTTCCAACACTTTGTAACACCAAGTGCTGGTCGTGGCAACTCACCATGTGAGCCAGTTTAGGTTTTTATTGTACAAGGAATGCAGAGATATAAATAATATTTATTTAACTCTGATGCAGAGTATTTGACTTTGAATGTAATAATTATGTGCCCTTCTATTATACAAAAGATCAGGTATAAACATTTTCGGTAAGAAAAAGGTCTCTTAATGCCATTTCTAACTGTCACTTTTAGCTTAAAAGTTTCTTACTATAAAATCATTTTTTAACAAAACAAAATTTATTCAAAATGTAATTAATAATGTCAGCAGTGTAATGCTTTGCAAATATGTTGTTTATCAACCCAATGTTTTACTTATCACTGTATGTTGTGAAATCCTCATTTAAACTTAATCCTGCATCTGTTATGATATTGTAAAACAACACATTCTGTACCGTATCCCTCTTAACTGAATTCTAAAAGAAAAGGATAAAGTATAACATCATTTCCAAGATGAGCACTTCTCTTCTAATTGCCTTGAATCCCTTTAGACATCACAGTCCTGGATGTCAGGCATCAAGAGTCATCTGTCAAAGTGTAAATCAGCAATTAAAACACAAACACCAAAATGTCAAAGATGACCTAAAGCACAACAGAGCTGACAAACAAGTCTGGACAAATCAGTGGATAATTTATAAGCATTGCACTAAAATCTAATTATTTGGCAATTCTTATTTGCAGTTAGCTTGAACTGTGCAATAAATTTATCATGCCATAAATTATTTAGAAAAGGCTATTGTGTAAATCAAAACAGAAATATATATTGAAGGACAAGTTCCTGCATGCCCACTTTACTCATTTTGCAATTTGTCATCCAGATGGTAGTGAGAAGAATCTTGTATTGTTTCTTTAAAATGTATTCCACTGTAAAGTTTATATGTTACTACCATCAGATTCACAATATCAGCTAGATAAACTGACTGAATTTTCCAAGGCCCCTTTTCTTCCTAATCTTATGAATCAGACAATTGCAAGTAGTCTTCAATTGTTTGAGGTGAGTTGTAAGATATATTTTATCTGCCAGAGTGATTACTGAAAGTGATGTATCCAGCTTAATCACAATTGATACAAAATATCCACAAGATACTTAAATAAGCAACAAAAGAAAAGGTAGAAATTGTTATGTTCCACACAAAATAATGCTGGTGCAATTCTTCAAATTGATGTCAGTTCAGGGTTGAAACATTATTAATAAAGCACTTAATTTATTTGCTATGACTTACAACTTAACTCAACACTTCGTGTATGCTGCAGTCTTGCCGTACTCTCTTATTGCTCTATTGTGTATGAGCAAAAACTACTGTAAAGTTGGTAACTCAGTATGTATTTTTTTAAGACCCAGTGTAAATTTATTAATTGCTTATAAAGAAATTGTTGTATTATTACAATAGCAATGAGAGATAGATGATGATTACATCACCAAGTCAGAATTTGTACACTTGATTATATTTGCAAATCTGAATCAAAAATTCTAAACTTCCCATGTTGTATTTAAAATAATGAAGTGATTAGTAGTTAAGTGCTTACTAAGGGGTCCGTTATGGGCTGGTTTTAAATAAATTTATGAATGTACAAAATTCATGGGACAGAAAGCCCACCTGCCCCACAGTATGATGACTGGGGCATTATGACGAGACACTTCTTTTCCCATGACCCCCATATCTTGATGAGTCAACTGATCTTAGATCTTGGAGAAATAACTTCAGTAAAACTGGTAGGCAGTTTCATAGTCTGTTTTGCTAGTCATTTTAAATTGAAGATCATAAATATTAAGATGTCATTACATGTGTTACTGTATTACCATCGACTCAACCATGTATGCTGAGGGTGGGGGTTAGGAGTTAGGAGGTATCCTATGTATGATCAGTTAAATAGCCACTAGTTATTCAAGCTGGATGAAACTGATTCAGAATCCAATATAAAAGGTTCCTGACCATTGATTTCATTCTCAGTATAATGGGTCGTTAGATACAGACTGTACCTCCACCTAACCTGTCTCAATAATGTGTCTTAACTCTAACCACAGAAGGTCACCTATACTACACCATTATGATGCTAGTGGGACTGTCAAGTTATTGCGTTGTTCATTATGAACATGTCTGTTTTGGGTATTGCTCTTAAATTCATAACGTATACTTGGCCTCATTAGCAAAACTTGATTTTGAACCTAATTCAGGAGCTGAAAGGACTGTGTATTTCCATTGCATCATATGAACCCAAACAGAGGCTATTCTGTAAACAGTATTGAAGTAAACTGTAGATTATTTCTTGATAAATTTGAAGTGGTGGAACCTCCATCCATAATCTTCCTGCATGTAGGAGAAGTATTATGTTGACATTGGCACCAAACCAATCAAATTAAAAACATGATTTAAAAAGAAATTTTGAAATTTGCTTCATTTTAACTAATATTGGCTGTATCTTGGTATTAAAATGGTTTTGTTATTTTTAAATCACTTGAACCTCTCAACATGATGACAATTTCATAATCACTTGTTCTTTCCCATCATATTTGCATAGCTTCAGACTTTTGTTCTGAGGTAAAACATCTCTACTGAAATTATGAGACAACAAGGTGCAGGGCTGGATGAACACAGCAGGCCAAGCAGCATCATAGGAGCAGAGAGGCTGATGTTTCGGGCCTAGACCCTTCATCAGAAAAGGGGGAGGGGAAGGGGGTTTTGAAATAAATAGGGAGAGAGTGGGAGGCGGATAGAGGAGAGGATAGGTGGAGAGGAAACAAACAGGTCGAAGAGGCGGGGATGGAGCCAGTAAAGGTGAGTGTAGGTCGGGAGTTGGGAAGGGGATAGGTCAGTCCAGGGAGGACGGACAGGTCAAGGGGGCGGGATGAGGTTTGTCGGTAGGAGATGGAGGTGCGGCTTGAGGTGGGAGGAGGGGATAGGTGGGAGGAAGAACAAGTTAGGGAGGCAGGGTCGAGCTGGACTGGTTTTGGGATGCGGTTGGGGGAGGGGAGATTTTGAAACTTGTGAAATCCACATTGATACCATTGGGCTGCAGGGTTCCCAAGCGGAATATGAGTTGCTGTTCCTGCAACCTTCGGGTGGCATCGTTGTGGCACTGCAGGAGGCCCAGGATGGACATGTCGTCTGAGGAATGGGAGGGGGAGTTGAAATGGTTCGCGACTGGGAGGTGCAGTTGTTTATTGCGAACCGAGCGTAGGTGTTCTGCAAAGCGGTCCCCGAGTCACCGCTTGGTTTCCCCGATGTAGAGGAAGCCACACCGGGTACAGCGGATGCAGTATACCACATTGGCAGATGTGCAGGTGAACATCTGCTTGATGTGGAAAGTCTTCTTGGGGCCTGGGATGGGGATGAGGGAGGAGGTATGGGGGCAGGTGTAGCACTTCCTGCGGTTGCAGGGAAAAGCGCCGGGTGTGGTGGAGCTGGAGGGGAGTGTGGAGCGGACAAGGGAGTCACGGAGAGAGTTGTCCCTCCGGAAAGCAGATAAGGGTGGGGAGGGAAAGATGTCTTTGGTGGTGGGGTCCTGCACCTTGTTGTCTCGGATTCTCCAGCATCTGCAGTTCCTACTATCTCTACTGAAATTATGTTGTTGAGAAATTCCTCCAAATACAAGAATTTGCTCAGTACTTTTGCACTTCAGGTAATGAGTTAGGAGGATGCAATTTCACGATGGATTTCATTGTTTTTAGGGTTCCAAATAGTATATTTGCGAACGATTTTAAAATTCATTTTAGCAGTTTACTTCTATTTTAAAAAAAACTGTTCCTTTGTGTTGATCTCTGTATGCAGCTGTTTCCAAAACTTAATAAAGAACTGTACGTTGTTATTTAGGTTTGCATTTCAACTCGCCATAAAATGATGTGGTGCAATGGTAGTGTCCCTACCTATGAACCAGGACACCTAAGTTCAAGTCCCACCTGCTCCAGAAGTGCATACTAACATATTTGAACATATGGCTTTGAAAATATCGTTTTTGATCAGTAACAAATTTGTTTTTAAGATTTCTGTAGAATTAATATTGCTGTTTGATCACTATCTAGAGGTCCGGAGCAATTAGCAAGTGGATGCGTTCTCCAGTTTGCACATTTGATTATGCCAGCAGCCACTACCTGAAGGCTATACAACAACCAGAGATTTGTCTGCACTTTAATGGCATTATCTATGAGTCCTGAGCCCAAGGGTCTACCTGTTCTCTAATGCAAGGAACATTTCATGCACCAACTTTGCACTGGCCACACTGTCTTCTTTCCTAAGCAATGATCAACCCTTGGTACAAGCTTACAATTTCTAATGATAATCTTTTGTTTTGAACTTGATCAAATGTTTTTTCATATCCTCAATATGCATAGATACTTTCTTACCTACCCTATTAGCAACCTCCTCAAAATATTAGCTGATTATTCAGACATCACTCAACTTTCATAAATCCATGTTGCTTCTCTGGATCAGCTGACACTTGTTCAAGCATTCAGTCACTGTGTCTGCTGATAGATTGTACACAACTTGACCGGTCTGTCATTTCCTGGTTTCTCCATCCCTTGATTTTTAAGTATTAAAAAAATGATATTTGCAATATTCAAATCCAACATGACAGTTCCAGAGTCTGGAAAGTTTTGGAAAACTATGACTGTTGTACCTGTAGTTTTCTCACTAATATATTTTAATAGCCTATGATGGGACTTAGCAGATCCTGGAAGTTTATAATTCTCTGTCCTATTATTTTCTCCATGACTTTGTGAATGTAATGTTTTTAAAATGTCTTTATGTCAGGCATGTTTATAATATTTGGAAATATCACATATGCAAATAACAAACATCCAATACGTTTAATCAATATGTTTCTCTCTCCAGAAATGCTGCCAGACCTGCAGAATGCTTCCAGCATTTTGTTTTAGGTTTCTTTATATTGCTTACCAAGTCAACATTGATGTCCAATTCTAGTTGTTGTGACAAAGTAAATAAAGCTTTGCCAGGATTGCCCACCTCCTGAGAATGAATATTTTTGAGAGCAAGCAGTTTGCATATATGACACAAACGTTATGAATCCATGATCGACATAAAATGTCTCATTGGTGGGCAGTCTTAAAAATGTAAAAAAAAAAGCTAAATCTAACTAGGAATAAACATTTTAAAAGCAGGATTTTATTCTTTTCAAAGTTTGTAATAATCAAATATTTATCAATGCAGGTAGTATCTAGGAACACAAACTGGAAAAGAAATTGTGCCTTGCATATAAATGTGAGGGAGAAGAAATTAACTGTTTTTTGTTTACTTTGTCATTTTTCTTCTATCCCTAAATTCCACCCCCACCCCCCGTCCCCCAGGAAATTATAGAATTCCCAATCCTGAAGCTACATGGAAGGACACTGGAAATTGAAGCTGTGTTTCATACATATGTTCAACCAGTTATACATTCAGAACTGACACCTTTTTGTACAGAGGTAAGAGTTTCACAAAATAATCACGATCCATATAGTTTTACCTTGCGCACAATCTACTTGCATAAGTGCAAAAATATCATCTGAAAATATGTTTTATTTAAATTCTTTATAGTGTATTATTTTATTTGTTGAACATTGCTTATGTGACCATTATTGATACAGTATTTAATGCCTAATATATTGATGTACAATTTAATTTGAGGTGGAGGAGTTCAATATTTCACACATTTCTTTAAGTGAAATGTTCAAAATGCAAACTTACTCCAGAAAAACTGCTTGAGTGTACCATGTATCTTCGGGTGTTTGCTAAGATAATATAAACAATCTTGGATGTTGGTTTAGTGATCTTTGGTCATGATGTGTTAATTGCTGCAGTGTCCCTTGGTTTTGGAATAAAATAAGTTTAGCTCACCTTCCAGGCTTTTGCTTTAACTGTTTGAGCAGTTAATTTGTGTGAATCAATTGAACATTATCCCTCTGGAGGCTGTCATTTAGTTGATAAATAATTATGTAGCAGAATTGATACAGGGACCTCCAAAGAGGTTCACTAGAGATGCACAATCCTGCAATCTTCAAGATTTATCACATTCTTTCACCTAACATCTATTTTTAAATTGGAATGTAGAGTGTCCCTCATTGAATACCTTACACCTATAAGTAGTTAGAAGTACGAACAGGTAAGTGCTAGAGAAACTCAGCAGGCCTGGCAGCATCTTTGGAGAGAGAAACAGAGTTAATATTTCAAGTCCAATATGGCTTCTTCAGAATCCTAAACTTAGTGCTTATTTTACTATAACTGGTTAGAACAGAGAACATAGAACATTACAGCGCAGTACAGGCCCTTCGGCCCTCGATGTTGCGCCGACCTGTGAAACCAATTTGAAGCCCCTCTAACCTAAACTATTCCATTATCATCCATATGTTTATCCAATGACCATTTAAATGCCCTTAAAGTGGGCGAGTCTACTATTTTTGCAGGCAGGGCATTCCACGCCCTTACTACTCTCTGAGTAAAGAACCTACCTCTGACATCTGTCCTATATCTATCACCCCTCAATTTAAAGCTATGTCCCCTTGTGTTAGCCATCACCATCCGAGGAAAAAGGCTCCCACTGTCCACCCTATCTAATCCTCTGATCATCTTGTAATCTTGTTAGAAATTTACATGTAAGCTTTGAGGTAAGGTTTCCTCCAATGGGTGCAATCTGGATAAGTAGGGGCTTCATGCTGGCTAATTAAATGTTGAAACAACATAAAATATTGTGCATTTGTAGCTTTGGCTAATATTCTCCAATTTGTTAATATGGGAATTTGACCAGAAAAACAAAAACAAGCGCAGAGAACACTGGAGAAACTCTGTCCAGGCAACATCTGTCAAGAGAGAAACAGAGTTAATATTTCAAGCCTGGTATGACTTCTTCAGAACTGGGTTCTGATTGAATTGAGTTCTGAAGGAGAGTCATACAAGTCATATGATAAAACCTCCAGGAATAGATTTAATTCCAGGTGGCAACCGATGTGTTTGGAGTCAGTAGTGCCCTACAGCATGAACGAGGCTGTTAGCGATGTGCAATTACATGCATGTTCTATCTGTTCTCCAGTCTGAGCCAACACAGTGTATTCCCTTCTCATTGCATAAATTGCATCAATCACTTCTCTTATCTAGCACTGTGGTGACAAATGTGGAGGTGATAAAAATGTCACCTGATCTAATCTGCATGAAGAAGTTCATAGCCACAAGTAGTGGCAGTGGCCCCCTCAGCTCACGCTGACGCTGCAGGTTTGTCTGCAAGAGGTGACGAATGTCAAAGAGCACTGTCTTTATAAAACGGAGACATATTGCACACTTTCTGTGGTCTCAAATTGATTTAGAGAAATTAAACGGGAAGCCCAGCGGATACAAAGCCTGCCTTGTGTTGCACGTTGTATTGGGAATGGGAGAACCTGTCTCAATAGATTTTAAGGTGACCACTCCAAATTTATATTTAAGTTGCAAAGGTGAAATTGGTACCTGGATAATAGTTTTTTTTTGATGAGCAAGCCACTGCAAGTATCTCAACACGTGATACAGCAATCTATCCTGATCTATAAAAGATCTTTTCTGTGTTGCCATAATTATGAGTACTAAAAATACTAAAAACAAATGTTTATTTGGAAAGGGATTATATTTCCCGCAAAAGTAAATTTAATTGTATTCTTAAGTATTATAAATTCTGTTATTTTTTCCTGTAAAATGATTATCATACCTTTATGACATTCCTAATTGGCTTCAAAATGATGAATTTCAGCACTGTTCTTGAGGGAAAATTCTGGCAGAATTTAACTGCACTTACACTTCACATTGAGGAACCTACACGCTTTGATAGAAGTCCACTTTACTGCCTGACTGACCTTCCACCCCATTCTGAAGAGCGTTCGCAACACTGGATATATCTGTACATCCATCAATCAAATTACAGTATCATTGTTAGACTGATAGGTTGAGACAAAGCAATCCCTGTGTCATTTTTCAAGTTATATTCTTTTCAATTATTCTCTCTTGCCTGATGATGTTTTTAATGCCTACTACCTCAAGTCTGTCTGAGTGTGTTTTTAAAAAAGAAGCTACCTAAATATGGACAAATTTTGACAATATTGAATGATCCTGAAATGAAGCACTTCTACTCTTCTATAGCAATGTATTGAGTTGATTAATATTAAATGTTAAGAGATATATTGCATATGTTTCCTAAGACAAATTTTAATTTCTGAGAAAATAAACTTCTGATTTTCTTGCCTAATTAAAATTATCCGAGAAATGTATGTTGTGAGAAATAGAATAATAGAAGTATTTGTTTGAGCAATTTTGTTATGTGGCCCTACTGGAAAGAAAGAACATGAATGCTGTCTTAACTGCTGTAACCATTCAGTGTGTACTTCACAAAGAGTATGTTATTTCACCTGTGTTGAGATGCCACAGTGCTGTTGACTATGTGAGCTTGCAGTGAAAAATACAGTCAGCTATTAGCATGTCAGCACTCTCTCTAAAGCAATACATATTAAGTGATCATTCTTGAATTGGCTTAGGAGACTAAGATGATAATTTAGATACATGTAGATGAAGCTTCTAGTTGTGCTATTTATTGTACCCTGGCATGCACTTTGTAGTTTTTCTGGTCATCAAGTTGCAATATTTATGCATATTGTGTGAGTAGAATCTTTTTTTCTCTCTTTCTCAGTTTTTGAAGTGCAGATGGCATTTAGGCAAATATATCATCCAGTTATATGGGGGCTGTTGTGGCACAGTGGTAGTGTCTCTACCTCTAAGCCAGAAGGAGTCCCACCTGCTCAAGAGATGTGTACTAACATCTCTGAACAGTTTATTAAAAATAATTGCCATCCAATCATATACAGAATGGTGGCATAAGTAAGAACTGTGATTACTAAATCACTGTATTCTTGTCAGTTGAGCAACAAATGTACTCTTTCCTTAAAATCGAACATGTTACCATTATGCTAAACGTCCATGCTGTAGCATAGCCAGCTTCATGAGCACCTGAGGAGCTATCTCAAATCAGTGATCTATTATGACTGTTTTCTGATATAGACCTATGCCCACAAATATAAGGTTGATCATGTACCAACCAAGATTTATTTTAAGATGGTTAACCAAGAGCAGAGAGAGGAAACTGGTATCCTTAACACTTGTCTGGATTTGAACCCTGCTTCTATGGTTCTAAGGATTGTATTCAAATCCCCTCTTAATATTTCTGAATTATTTTACTGAATCTTAAGGCAAAACAAAATGAGTGTTGAAAACCAGGCAGTGGTTATTCTTGCAGCAATGTAACAATATCAGTCAAGTTACTTCTAACTAGTGCATAATATTTCTTTTCTTCAGATCAGAATAGTGATCAGCAAACTCTGTTTTTGGCAATGACTTCTCTTGGTTAGTGGTTATTACCCCTGCAGGGCAAGTGGATCATTGGATTAAATTATCCTCTTGACCAGTTTACTGTTTGCTTTAAGGAGATGTATTGTTGAGTTATTTTTGTTACCAAAGAAGAATAAATTGTTCCACCTGGAGTTTATTTTGCTTTATTTTTCCGTTTTATTTTGTTTGTCCTATTTCAAAGTTTTTTTTCAAGTAACCAAAACCCAGCTACAATAGCAGGTTGTATCTTTCACCCAAGTATTCTGGTGCTTGGAAAAAATTAAAATCTGACTGTGAAAGACGAATGAAATTTTTTAATATATGCATTCTTTTTACACTTCCCTTGCTTTCTTTCTCACTACAGGCCAATTCTCTTGGTGAGCTCGCCTAGCTTCAGGGGATTTAGATTTTCTTCCAACTGTTGTTAACATTGCAATTAAAAGAAATATGATTTGAAAAGAACAATTAAAATATAGACCTAATTGATGTAATGGCTGAAAACTAGCTAGAAATGTATGGTCAGACATTGCTATTATGGCATATCTTTTGGTGAGTGACAGGAATTGGTTTTCTCTTCTTGACCTTTCAGATTATGTTTTTGTGGTTATTTGGAAGCTCATGAACATTGGGTTCTATGATGTATTTCCTTAACGGATACAATTAGTGAAGAAAGAATGGTGTCTCGTGTCAAATTAGATACCAAATAAAAATGAAGGATGAGCCAAAAGGCAGAGTTAAGAAGGATAAAATTTACCTGCAGGAGTGAGAGACCATAGTTCTTTTCCAGGTCTCCAAGATTAAGTAGAATGTCAGAATCATAAATCAAATTATCATCAGAGTCCTTACGACAAGAAATACTAGCTGAAACAAGATTCCTTTGTGTTTAAATCATAAATCCAACAATTTCTTGACATTTATTGGCAAATTGATGTACATTTTTGTTTTTTGAAGTTAATTGTTGAGCAGTGCAGTTGTCCAGAAATTTATGATAGTTCACAACTAAAGTGGTACCTCTTCTTTGACACAAATTGCTTTTTTTTAATGTACTAATAATGGTGGGCAATTTGAACGCTACAATATTGTCCCAACAATTTCTCTGGTCCTATGCTTCATACTTTCCTCTCTATGAGCTCAGGCCTCTATTTGCTTCTTTTGACTTAATAAGGTTAACAATAGATCTGCAAACTTACTTTAATTTTGATATATTTTGGTTGTATTGACAAACATTCTGGCTGATCATTGAAATAAGACAGAGAAAGTATTTTGTTCAAGAGGATAAAGAGAGAAACAAGCAAAGGGACGCAGTGTCAAATAACTGAATTTGGAGAAGAAACTGTGCCTAGTGAAATATATTTGCTTATAGGAACAATGTGGTGTCATTAATTTTCCCTATCCTCTGTGGCCAATTGAATATACAGTACTTACATTAAACTTGTTACTTTGTATGTTAACTTGCCACCTAACAGTTTAATGTTTCATATCTGGCCTTGTCTCACTACTGTTTTTCCATCCATATCCAGCAGATTTGACTACAAACATGTATGAAAGATCAAAATTTAGTTTAGATCACAAGGTTCCCATTGCTACAATTTCAAATGACAATATATAAGTAGATTTAACTGGCTCATGCATATTCCTGATTATATGATGTTCAGACCACTTACAGATGTGACACTGGAGATTAACTAAGGCAAAACTCTTAACTTTTAACAATAAAATGCACCCTACCCTGTGAATTAGACATTCTGCTCTATATCATCATACTAGCTTTGATTTGAATATTCTTCATGATATACCAGGACAAAAGTAGCCTTTATAAAGTTTTAATATTATCTTTTGTCAAATCTGTTACATTTTGGAATGTTACTAATGCTTAATGTTCTCCCAATCATCCACCATGTAATTTTGTCTTAACCTGTTTGTAACTTGATTTCTTATTTAGCTCACAGGGATTGTTCAGTCTATGGTGGATGGAAAACCAACATTACAGCAAGCCCTTCAGGTAAATTAAGTCGTGTCTAGGCATTTGACTTGGATTTAAACTGTCTCTTTTGACCTCAACAGACTATCTATAATTTAAGCATTTCAGAGGGAGCTTTTATGAAAATTAATGTATTGGGCACTGTATTGGACTAATTATATTTTCATGTCGCCTTGCTAATACTGCTTATTTTCATAGAATTATGCATTTACTTGAGATGTCTTAAAATTTCCAGACTAGCCCTTGAGTTTTGATAAATTTGTAAATCAAGTCAAACATTGACTTGTAAGTTTTCAGTTTGTCATTTGTTTCTTAAATCTTTTTTTTTAATGGAACTGATGGTAAGCTGTGTTGCAAAACCTTAGTGCAGTAGAGCATACTGCTGTATTGCTGTGTTCTGCTGTGTTCATCCAGCTCCACACCTTGTTATCTCAGACTCCAGCATCAGCAGTTCCTACTTATCTCTGTTGTGTTGTGTTGTGCTACAACACAAACCTGTTGACAGCCGATAATTATCAAGAGGTTATTCTTGACTGTTCCGCAAGTTATGCTTTGGTGGAAACACTTGGAAACTGACTCCCAAATATCATGCTGGATGTGATATAAGCTGATCGATGCCATGGCAAATTTACATCAATTTTACCCCTGTTTTAACGTTATGAGCTGTTCTCTGCTTCTTCAGTGGGATAGATGAGACCCACTCTACAGCACCCATCTTTGCCTCTCAACTGCAAAAGACACAGACTTGAGTGTATCTGACATATAGCTAGTGTAACAATGCATTGCCGTACTTGGTCTGATCATATCAAACAGTGGTATGTTTGATTTCTTGTGAAATAAGTGCACACTCCTTCAACCTTGCAGTGTAACAATAATCCTTTGTTTCTAAGGTTTTAGAGTAGATTTGTAGCTCGGGTTGTGGGTGTTGAGGTTGGTTGGCTCGCCGAGCTGGTTTCTTGTTTCGCAGATGTTTCATTACCATGCTTGGTAACACCCTCAGCTGGCTAATCTGTGCGATGGAGTGCCTGGTAGGGAGACTATGGGTCTGAGGAGGACGTCTGGCTTGTGCACTTTAGGGAGGCCGTAGAATCGGGGTATGTTGGCTCCTTCGGGTTTCATTCTTAAGTCTGTTTTGTTGATCACTCCTGTTTGTTTAAGTCTTTGTAGCATGTAGAGGATTTTGTTGCCTAGTTGCGGTGTCGGGTCAGTTTGTACTGGCCAGTATGTGTTCTCGTCGGCGAGCAGTGCTTGTGCTTTGGAGATACAGTTCCTTTTATTCAGTATCATTGTCATGCGCCCTTTTTCTGCAGGCAGTATTGTGATGTTCTTGACCTTCTTTAATCTGTCCAGGGCCTGTCTTTCCTGTGTGTTGCGGGTGTTGAGTTCGCTCCTTCTGGTTAGTGTCAGGATTACTGTCTGTCTTATAGTTTGTTGTGTTTCTTCATTGATATTGTTGGTCTATTAATAAACACACTGAACTCGACCCCATATACATTCCACTACGAAGGAAAAACCAGAAGTGAGGCAATCCATCTCAACAGACCCCAGAGTTTAAAAACCAGGCGGGAAAACACACCAACACTTCATTGGAGGCTGCACTGAGGATGTTACGCAGCATGGTAACGAAATGTCTGCGAAACAAGAAACCAGCTCGGCGAGCCAACCAACCTCAACAATCCTTTGTTTGGTTATCATTGCCAATTGTCTCCTGAAACATTTCTCCTATGCCTCTTCCATCATTACTTCCAGCAACATGTACAAGGTGTTCATGGACTTTATTATGAGTGAAATTGAAGCCATCTGTTAAGCTGCCTCCATCGTACCTCCCTTTTGCCGTCCAAGCCAACACTCTCACCAAGGTTCTCTCAGGCCCCAGACTAGGACCTGACTTTTTCTTCGGTTTCTATGTGACTCCCCTCATGTCCTCTCTGAATTGGTATTATCCATTTAAAGCTCCCTTGATCACATTCTATGAAAGTCCTGACATTTTTTCTAGTTAGCTTTGAAAATGGTTCAATTTCCTCAATTACAATATCAGAACTCCAACAACACCACCAGGTTATAGTCCCTTCCTAAGTGGTTCCCTCCACTTTGCCTGATGAAGGAGCAGTGCGTCGAAAGCTTGTGATTTCAAATAAACATGTTGGACTATAACCTGGTGTCATGTGACTTCTGATTTTGTCCACCCCAGTCCAACACTGACACCTCCACATCTCCATTACTACATCATTTGTTTTCAAACTCACCATTGTCACCCCCACCGATAAACATATTATTATCCCCTCCGTTTGTTGTGAACTACTGCCCAACTCTAATTTCATTTTCCTCTCTAAAGTTCTTGTCTGTTTTTTTGCCTTACAAATCTGTGCCTGACTTTCCCAGTTTGCAAGCAGGTTTCCACCCTTCTCTCAACTGTAATCAAAGTTGTAAATCCTCTGACTATGAGCACTGTGACGTGTGCCCTCATTATCTTTCTCAATCTCAGTCTTCAGCAATCATGATCATGCTAACATCATTGTACGTTTTGCAGAGAATGGTGTGAATGGTGGAATTTGCTGTATTGCGAAGTAGTCGAAAAAGATAGAAAAAGACTTATTTCAGGAGAGGATGAATGCATATATTAGGGACAATAGAAAGAAGCAAAATGAATGACAAGGTAGGGAGAAGTAATTCAAGTGATGGAGACTTGTGTATGATACTTGTAGCTATTTGAATCAAATGACTGATTTTTTTTTTGTGCAATACATTTTATGTCATATGTAAAAGTTATTGATAGAAGCACAGACGACATTTTGGAACAGCATGCTGAATGAAGTATAGTAAACACACATTTGCATTGGAATTAAGTGTACTTTAGTTTTATTTATTCATCCGCCTTATTTGCTTTTTGCAGATGGTTGATGACTGGATGAGAAAAGAAGGTTTGCTGGATCCTAAAGTCAACTCCATTTTTGTAACCTGTGGAGATTGGGATTTAAAAACAATGTAAGGAATTAGAATTTATAAAACTAGATTGTTAAGAAAATGCTTTGTTTATTTCTCACATTGAAAATGACTGATTAGTATTTTTATTATCTGTAGTATTTTTACTATCTTCAGGATTTTCATTATCTTTATCTATAACTTGTGGGTGGGAGTTTGATTAAAAGAGCCTTTGAAAAATTTAAGCATTGAAATGAAAACCTTCTGAGTGAGGGTTTCAACTGTGAAGAAGTAGGTAGTGATTAGGATTATGGCACGATTATGAGACTGAACTAACATTTTTCACATCCAGATTGAGTTTGAGTTGGCAGACAGGTAGAAACAGAGTCAATATCTCTATCTTCTAGTAGAAACTAAAGATCATTATCTTAAACAAAAACTGGATTACAGTCTAAATTCAATAAAAGTATGGTCTCTACTGCTTGGAAGAACAAGGGCATCAGTGAACAAGGATGCATAGGAACACCATTAGGTCTATTTTGTTTTGTTGAGTGTGGGCATTGCTGCTGATGCCACCATTTGTCACCTGTCCTTAATTGTCTTTGAACTGAACAGTTTACAAGGCAATTTCAGAGTGCAGATTGGGGTCAACAACATTATTGAATCACAGAATCCCTACTGTGTGGAAACAGGCCATTCAGCCCAACATGTCCACACCGCCCCTCTGAAGAGCATCCCACCCAGACCCATTCCCCTACCCCTGCATTTCCCATGTCTAACCCACCTAACCTAAACATCCCTGTTACCCAAACACGATGGGCAATTTAGCATGGCCAATCCACCTACCCTGCACATCTTTGGACCGTGGGAGGAAACCAGAGCACCCGGAGGAAACACACGCAGACACGGGGAGAATGTGCAAACTCCACACAGACAGTCACCCGAGGCTGGAATCAAACCCGGGTCCCTGGCGCTTTGAGGCAGCAGTGCTAACCACTGAGCCACCGTGCCACCCTACATATTGTGGATATGGAATCATATGTTGACCAGGTGAATTAAGGATTGCAGATTTCCTTCCCTAAAGGACATTTGTAGACCAGATTGCTTTTTATGACAATCGCTGAAAGTTGTCCTCATCAGTATTACTGAGACTAGCTTACTATTCCAGATTTTGTTAATTGATTTTAAATTTTACCAACTTGTTCTGGGAATTGGGTACATCAGCCTGGGTATCATGATTATTAATGGAGTAGGGGATGGGACTGTTTGGGATGGTGTTTTGGAGGATCGATGCAGACTCAATGGGCCAAATGGCCTCTGTCTGCATCGTAGGGATTCTCTGATTCTAATATCCTTTTTTTAATCTGTACCAGATACATTTCACAAACATGAATGAGAAACATTGTTATGAAATGTTTTTGCAGCTGTCATACTATATTTGCTGCACATAAGCATTGAATTTATACAAGCAAACAAGCTGCATCATAAATCATGCGCATACTGTGTCACAAATTACATGCATGCCTACACAAGTGTGGAGGCATTGAGTTTCTGTGAATATTAGCAGCCAATGTATAACTTGATACACGTACTGTGTCCACCAACTGGTGTAGCGCCAACTGGCGCAAAGAAATCTAAAAATCCACGGTTAGTTTTGACACCACAGTGCACATTTAAATCCAGGTTATGTGCCGGATTCAGCTGTTGTACTGAAGCCTACATACTCGCTCATCAGCTTGGTACAATGAATATCAACAAATACAGAGGTGTCACAGGAAATTAATGTTCAGCAGCATGCTGGATTTTGGTGTTGATTTGGTAATACTGTAGATATAGAATTTAGTGTAAAAACCGTAGCATTAATGACTTTTGGGGCCTAATTTACTTTGCTCAAGTTAATATTAATGGGTGGTAGCAATCTTGGTTATTACTCTTAACATCCTAATAACAGTAAAGCATCAGCAGCTGCAGTTTTTTTTAAAAGGGACTTTCCTTAGCCAGTGGAACATCTGCTTGTTTCAGGCAGTGCATCTTTTGATGATGGAAATCAATATTTTGTGACATTGGTAGAACACTAATTACAATTTCTAGGGATATGGCTGAACCCCATTCATTTGGTTGGTTGGGTGCTGCAAAACCAGAAAAGCATTTTTGAGTTTCTTTTTTAATTAAGTCAGTGTAGCTCCTGAAATTCCGAAGGGCATTGCTGATTTGAGATCATAGATTCATAGAGATCTGCAGCACAGATAAGGCCCTTCAGCCCATCGCATCTATACCAATCAAAAACAACCACCTAACTATTCAAATTTTCCAGCACTCTGCCCATAGCGTTGTATGCCTTGGCATCGAAAGTGCACATCTAAATACTTCTTAAGTGTTATGAGGGTTTCTGCCTCTACCACCACATCACTTGCACCACCCCATCTCCTCCATCACCAGGAACTGTGAAATGGTTAATGCTGTGACCAAAAGCTGGCAAGCTGCAATGGAATGCCCGTAGAGAATCATAGAATAGAATCATAGAATCCCTACAGTGTGGAAGCAGGCCATTTGACCTGTCAAGTCTACGCCAACCCTCTGAAGAATGTCCAACCCCAACCCACCCCATACTCTATCCCTGTAACCCTGCATTTCTCATGGCTAATCCACCTAGCCTGCACATCCCTAGACACTATGGGCAATTTAGCATGGCCAATCCACCGAAACCAGCACATCTTTGGACTGGCAAAGTGAGACAGACATCCTGGAGGTGGCACGGAAAAGAAGTCTGATTCCCTCTAACTCATTTAGGTCTCCTACAGCAGAGCGGATAATTAGCTACTTGTCAGTTAAAACCTAATCTGTTACTTTGTCTGCATGGAAATGAGCCTCTAATGTCCTGCTATAAAAACTGACTCACACTTTGTCTCTAATTCATTCGCACTTTTGCCTTCTGGTTGGCATTTCTCTGTCAAAGTCATCAATTTTTTTAGGGATTTTAAATAATGAATGGGTCAGATAAAGTTGACAAAGAGAAGATATTTTCACTGGTGGCTGAGTTTCAAAACTTGTCCATAAACATTGAGGTTATTACTCTTAGAAATCCAATAGGAAATTCAGGAAAATTTTCTTTTACTCCGAGTGGTGATGATGCAAAAATTGCTGCCACATGAGTGAGTAAGATGGATGCTTTTAGAGGAAAACCAGTTAAGTTCATGAGGGAAAAAGATATAGAAGAGAGATCTGGTTGTAGGATTAAATGATTTAGCTTGGGACGAGGCTTATGCAGAACATAAGCACCGGTTTATACCAGTTGGGTTGAATAGCCTATTTCTGTACTGAACATTCTGTGTGAAATAAATTTTTACCACCGTACTAAATTTGACTGGTACTAAATTTGAGTAGAAAAATGAGCACAATTTTAAACTTTGGACGGACTCTTGTAGGGGCCTGGGCTATAAGGTTTGTGGCAGAATCGGATGGAAAGTTCTGTGAGACTTATCTTGACGTTGAGAGTATCTTACTGCATCTTTTATGCTTTTGCTGAGAGGCAAGGTGAGTTTCTGACTAGGCAATAGTGAGTTAATTAAAGAGGATTATGGCTTACTAAACACCTTGTTAATGCTGCGACTCGCCTCGTTAGTATTCAGCTTTCTCTATTATCAAATATGCCTAGCACGCTATTCATCAAAAAGTCTTGAAATGGAAATCAAGAGCCATCATGAAGACTTCATCTCACCGCTGGTTACAAGGAGTCTCAATGCTGTCAAACAGCATCTCAAGGCATGATCCACAGGCACTAGCCCCACACACACCTCATCCACAGACGTTGGCATCTGGCATTTGCCAACCCCTCAGGACCATGATGGCACTGCTCAATACATGTGCTGGATGCTCAGGAAGCAGACTTGAGTTGCAAGGTGCACTGGGAACTAGTGTTGAAATGCTGCTGCAAGGACACTTCATGCACAGAGACCAGGCCCAACCTCAAGGATCAGACCAGGCTGCATCTCAGCCTGCTCTCTTGCTCTGTTGGCATTTGAACTTAATACCTGCCTGCATTCTCTCAATATTGCTGCTTTGCCATGCCATTGCCTATTAATGTGTTGGTACTTCAGCCAGAACCAAAGGCTTTCAGTACTACTATAATGATGTGCTGTCTTGTGCAGACACATAGACAGGTTGCTTGTCGTTTGAAATCTGCCCAGGAGCTGGAGACAAATTCTGATGTTACACTGAGATGTCAACATCCGTGTGTGTCACCTGCCCTGTGCACTTCACACAACCAAATGGCCACATTGGAAACTGGTGATGGCTAGTCTCAATCCATTCAAGGGGTAAAGCTGCTGTCTGTCAGGTTTTCTGTTACTGTCAGTAATGGGCACAGCCTGTGCACAATCCAGAAGTTTGGCATGGTCATTTCTCTGCTTGAGATACATACAGTCAGGGGGCTAGTAACTCTTATTGTCAAGAGTGAGAGTGAGTGGACAGACAGTCTTGTGCAACCAACACAAGCAATGAGGGGAAATACATAGTGTCAGTCAGCAAGCTGCAAATACAGCAGTTAGGGATCTGGTCAGTCTTCTTGAGCTTGATTTTTGAAGTTGGTCAGAGCCCTGGGGCAAATAAAGTCCTGTTGGCTGTTCAGAAAGGTGTAAGGGCACTGTCGGGACAGCAGGGACAAAAGGGCTAGGAGAGGTGTGGTTGGGGTGGAAAGCAGAGCTATTTGCAGAGGTGAAGACAAGGACGGCGACCGGGGAATCTGTATGTATATGAGGGGTATGCAGGAAGGCATTGGAGGGCATGACATCCTACAGTGATTAGGGTGGGTTTGGTAGGGGTTGGGTGCAGTTAGTGATAATGAGCAGCACTGTAGGCTCCGCAGGGTGGGCATCATTAAGGTTTAATGCTGGGCTTCAGGGGACAGGAAAAACAATTGAATCATAGTTAAATGTGGAGAGTGTCACCATTGGAAGGGATGAGTGGAAACGGGCTGTCGGAGTAGTGTGACATGAAAGGAAACATGGAAGTTATAGCAGGTTACAGTCACCAAATGGAGAGCAGTGCTGATGGTGTCCACTGTG